CAAGAAGAGATGGAGTAGAATATTACAGATTAAAAGAGACTGCACATGCTTATCAACCAATGGCAAACTATGGACCTTATTTAAATTATAATTTTTTTAAAAATCTATAAAAATTGCTTAAATAGAGCAATCAGTTCAACATGAATATTTATGTGACAATACTAATGATTTATTGTATATTTGTCTACATGTGGTAACAATGGTATTGTGGGTATGTTTAAAAAACAGAATCCTTATTTCTTACAGATATATATTGAAATATTCACAGAGGAAATGATACGATACTCAGGATTTACTTCAAAATAATCTCACAGATGGGGGAGTTGAGAGCATGTAGATACAAAGAGCTTGATAATGTTTTAATGATTTTTGAAGCTGAGTAATGAATATATTAATTTCATTACACTATTTTCTCTACTTTTATATATGTTTATAATTTCCTAAAATAAAAATTTAAAAATACCAGTATTTATTAAGGAGGTAGATGAAACACAGTTGGTAGAATCACAGAATTCTATAAGCTCCTCTTTGCACAATAATCTTTTCCCTAAATTGTTACCTGTTGGGTGAGAAGGTCTTATGCATCTTGGTATACTTTAGACTTAGGACAGTGACTGGCATATAGTAGTCACACAGTGTTTATTAAATGACAACCACTTTTTTGTTCCTTTGATACAAGATCTCACTCTGTCGCCCATGCTGGAGTGCAGTGGCACCATCATAGCTCACTGCAGCCTCCTGGGCTCAAGCCATCCTCCCACCTCAGTCTCCCAAGTAACTGGAACTACAGGCGCACACTACTGCACTGGGCTATTTTTTTTTTTTTTTTTAATAGGAATGGGGTTTCACCGTGTTACCCAAGCTGGTCTCCAACTCCTAGACTCAAGCAATCTGCCTGCCTTGGCCTCCCAAAGTGCTAGGATTGCAGGTATGAGCCATGGCACCCAGGTGATAACCACTTTTAACATCAGTATCAAACACTATTACCGTGATCAAGTTTATTCAGTCACCTATGAAATTAAAAGGCTTCTGATTTTGTTCATAGATGCTGGCAATACAATGGTCCCTGACAGTCTTTATCTGTAAGACTTTGTACTCCACATTCAGAGTCATGCCGTGTAGGTATTTCTGCACTAAATCCTCCTTGCAGTGCTGTATCAAACCTCAGTCAGGAACAGGCTTTTCTGATCAAGTGCCCTTTCTCCCATGTGCTTCTCAGAAATAACTGAAATCTTGGCATACTTTCTCTTCTTGATGCAGTTCAAAGACTTTGGCCAAATGCTAAGCTTCTGAAATTTTTGCTCCTAATTTACTGAATTTTAGCACTAGGTGGTTAGTGGGAGGTAAAAGGAAATCCAGCCAGAACCCAAAAAAGAAATTATCTGAGAAATAAAACCTAAATATAAAATGATAGGCTATTTATGTATTTGTACAATTTTAAAAGAAAACTTTGATATAACTTTTACAACCTAGGAATGTTTGTTAAAATTCCTTAGTTAGTTTGATGGGCATGTGCAATGAGATGTTGACCATATAAACTTAGAAGAAGAAACCCACACATGGGAGAGATTATGTGAATTTCTTTCTACCTGAAGGTAAATCTTATTAACATGAGACGGTTCACAGTGAGAGAACAGAGGTTTCATAAAGGTATCCACCTGTGTTCCTGAAGGTCCCTGACAAATGGCACTGCACAATGGAAAAAGCAGCAGAACATGATTGCATATTTAAGTGATCTGGCGACTTCTAGATACCAAAAATATTGGAAAGCCACATATTATGAAAAATATCTTGGCTTCCTCTTTCCAAGATACTCTTGGCCACTAAATTGATGTTCTTGTAGGAGACATCTGCTTGTAGGTGATGAGAAATGGAATAAGAACATAGCATAGATCTTCTGCCCCCGATTCCCTACTCTGCCAGCCATACTAGTACATGTGGGTGTTAATTTGGTAGCTGTCCCAGATTTCATAAAAGCAGAGATGGCTTTCAGTTAAAAATGGCAACTTGAAGATGCATTTAACTGCCTTTTATTCCATCTAAGTTTTCCATTGAAATAAGCTGCAGATGTCCTAAATAGGGAACACCTTATAGCAATGCTGATCATTAAGAATTGAAGAAAGTTTTACTAAAGACCATACAGCTAAAACCATGAAGAAAGGCCTATCACCCCAGATTTCTATGTAGTCTGGAAATTTAATGAGAAGAGACTTCACCAAAATCTGACTGTAACCTTCAGTGCAGTAGTAAGAGCTGGAGGTAAGGATAGGTTATTGGTAGCCTTGTAAGGGGTACATGTGAATCAGTCCCTCTGGGGAGTGCATTACATGCCAGAGCCGTAAGAAGTGGGATCTTGTGGTTTTTCCATGCTGGGAATAAGCAAAGGAGCTGCCACAGCTCTCTCCCAAAGAAGTCAGTTCTACCAGAAAAATAATGAAGATTTTTTCCCCAGCTGACATCAAGCTGCCACCATGAACTTTGAAAAGAAACTCTTTGGTCAAAGGGACAGACTCCTCTTATCTTTCGTCTACTCTTAGGCTGCTGGATTTCTGAACCAAATAATGAAAACTACAAAAGTTGAAATATTTCCTCCTTCTCCTTATCTTGGGTAGTCTGGAACTTCAAACTCACACAATTTCTAAAAGAATTTAAACCAATACTTGACAAGCTCTAACCTCAACCTTTAATTCAGTGTACAACTGAAAATAAGAAAGATAGTGCAAGTCAAAAAAGATGTCAATCTGAGTGACTATTTGCATAACAGCATAAAATATTCCTTTACAAAATTTTAGAAACTTTCTGATTAGTTGAATACGATTATTTGCATGTTGGACACCAGAGTAAGTAGCCATTAAAAAGAAGGAAATTTAAGATGAAAAAATACTGAGGAAATAGAAAACTTGATTGTCAAGTTTCAAGCAAATCAATGAATTAGAACCCAAGCTCCAAGCAATCCTCTCAGAATTTAGGAGAAGAAAACAAAGAAACGAAAAGGACAAAGGAAAAGAGCTGTGCAGAATAAATCCAGGAGATCCAATATGAGTATGACAGAACTGTCAGAGTCAGTTTAAAAGAAATAAATATATAATATTGATATATTGGAGAACCTGAAAATATTCAATAAATTAACCTAAATGCTAGATTGTAAAAGGACCAATCATACAAACTACTGGAAAGCCTAAACAAGAAAATATTTTTAAAAAGCAAAATATGTAAAATTATCAACCTATAACCATAGATTTGACAGATTTATAATTTATTTTAAAATCTTTTACATGCACCTGGTTATATATTTAAAATTCTTAAAGGAAAATATAAATTATAAATATAAACATACAATTAATAAATATAAAAATTTTAAATGTACCTCAAAAGTTGGGAAAGCTCAAGTATTTAATTTTGACAAAAGAAATTTGAAAACAAATAAAGCAACTTGCATAAAGCCATATCTTTTATATGAAGTGGAGCATGAATTTGAAATTTTATAGCATCTAAAAAATATGGAAAGCTGTCCAATTTTTATTTTTAAAATTTCCATAATGCTGATAGGAAACCTGATCAAAATAGCTAATCCACACTCACACACACATACACACATGCACATGCACACACGTATACCCCATGTGGACTAATTTTACTTTATATAGATGGAAATGGCAAAAATAAAACACCAGAAAATCACATGCATACTGTAATAAAATGATACTACCCTATGACAATATTTATTTCAGTAATGCAAGGATCATTCAATCTTAGAAAATCTACAACATTGTATCAATATATCAAAAGAAAAGCGAAATGCATGATAATTTCTATAGGTTTGATATACCTATAAAAGGCCTTTTATAAAAATCAACATCATTTTCTGATGAAATCTCTAAACTAAGACTAAGACATTTTCTATAGTTTTCTATAAAGACATTTTTCCATTCTTTTGTTTTCAAAAAAGCTGTCAGGACCATAGTTAAGTGAAACCTAGGTATATTCCAGTGAAGTACGAAACATTGAATATTGATCTCAACATTCTTATTAAAGCAATAAGACAAAGAAAGAAATGAGTACAAAAGGAGCCACATTGATGTAACTATTATACTGACACCTTTTAATTCTACCCTCTTCCACCACAAATCATGTTTCTTTATAGCCTCTTACCTTTGAGAGACTTATAAATTCAGGGCAAAAAAACTAACATGCTTTGCTGAATTATTGTGGCTGCCATTTGATACGTCAAGAATTAATTTCTTGGCTGGGTGTGGTGGCTCATACCTGTAATCCCAGCACTTTGGGAGGCCAAGGTGGGTGGATCACAAGGTCAGAAGATCGAGATCATCCTGGCCAACATGGTGAAGCCCTGTCTCTACTAAACACAAAAAATGAGCTGCACATGGTGGCCTGCGCCTATAGTTCCTGTTGTCCCAGCTACTGGGGAGGCTGAGGCTGGGGAATCGCTTGAACCCAGGAAGCAGAGGTTGCAGTGAGCCGAGATCGCACCACTGCACTCCAGCCTGGCATCAGAGTGAGACTCCATCTCAAAAAAAAAAAAAAAAAAAAAAAGAATTAATTTACTCTCCTATGTAGGAACCAAGGCTAGGGTTAGGGTCAGATGACAATTAAGTCAGGGATATAAAACTACAGGGTCTGATTCTGTCTTTATTTAAAATTGCTATATTTTCTTCACCACAGATTTTTTTCATATTAATTTTGATGTTTAAATATTGTATTAAACTATGATTTATCTTGACTCTGAGTTTTTTGGTGGCCTCTTACATTCTTCCCCCAAGACAAGTGCCTGACTTGCCTCCCTCTTGTCCTGGACCTGAATGGGCTGGCTTTACAATTATGCTTCGTAACTTGCAAAACTCTGTATGTATTCTTTTGAATACAATAGATAATACCCAATATTACAATTTTTCAAAATTAAATTTAAAAAATAAAGAAGAAAAGAGGGCTAAGAAAAGAATTCTGGGGTGGCTCCAAATTTTAGTAATCCAAAAGAGGAGATGTTACAAGCAAAGGAGACCGAGCAGGAAAGGCCAGTAAGGGAGGAAAAACAGCCCGTGGCGTTTTCCAAGAATGGTAACACTCTTTTGGGTCAAGGCAGCTGCCGCTGTGAGTAGCTAGACAATTCCCTGTTAAATGTACCCCTTTTCAGTCACCTAGCCCCTGCCTTCAGAACTCTCACCTAATAATAGCCTAGCTGTAAGAAGAAAACACATTGTGCATTCATGCATATGAAACATAAATTACAATGTAAAATTATGAAAAGCTATATTTTTGAGCAATCAACGGTTTGGGTTTTGTTTTTAGCATTTTGAGTCGTCAACATGGCACGCTGAATTCATTTGAGCCAAGGTACCTTGGCTGTTTCTTTTAGAATCAAATTATCAGATTTCATTGAAACACTTTTGGTGGGGCTATAACTCACATACATTGAATCAATTTGTCAAGATCAGTTTGGCAAAAAATGACATATTTATAATATTTGTCTTCATAGCTATGAACATGATACATTCCTCCATTTACTAGGTTCTTTACTGTGGGTAGAGAATTGGATGGTGGCCCCCAAATAATATGTCCATGTTCTTACCCCTAGAATGTGTGAATATAACCTTACTTGGAAGAGGGTCTTTGAAGGTATCATTATCGATCTGAAGATGATATAATTCTGGATTATTAAGGTAGCCTTAGTCTAATAAAAGGGTCAGAAGGGGAGGAAACACACACGCAAAGAAGAAGGCCAGGTGAAGATGCAGACAGAGTTTGCAATTATAGAACCACAAGAAAAGGAACACTTGAACCCACCAGAAGCTGACTGAAGCAAGGAAGATTCCTCCTTTAGAGCCTGTGGAGGAAGCATGGCCTGCCAACACCTTGATTTTTGACTTCTGGCCTCCAGAACTGTAAGAGAATAAATTTCTGTTGTTTTAAGCCACCAAGTTTGTGATAATTTGTTATGGTAGACCAAGGAAACATACATGTTCGATAAGGTTTTGTGATTTCTTCATAATGATCTTGTATATCTTTTGTTGTATCTATTCCCAAATTCCTTAATTTTTATTGCTGTTATCAATGACATCTTTTAAGATTTATGCTTGTTAGTGGTTTACTGATGATATTAGGGAAAGCAATTAGTTTTGGGACACGGATCTTGCATCCAGCAACTCTAAAATCTTTTTCAGTAAATATGTGTCAATCTTGTATTAAAATCTTGCAGACACACAAGAAAAAGTACTCCTTGTAGGTCAATTTAAATATTTATTCCTGGTAAGGACATTTTCTAGAAAAGAAAATGGATAATTGTTGTTAGACTAGATGCAGAAAGAAAGAACAGTCTCATTCAAGCTCTCTAGATCCTTGACTAGCAGTCAGCTAACAGTCAACTGTGTGGGTCACAAGTTACCCAGAACAAGTTTCTTTCTCTATTTTCTCTCTGAATTCCTAATTTTTATTTTTTTATTCTATGACCAACTCACTTGTAATCATATTGTCTTTCCTTTTTTTAACATTTCCATGGACACCAGGGACAGAATAAGTTTTTATTCCATCAAAATTCATTACAAACTGACATAAGGATTTATCAGAAATGCTAATTTTTTGCAGAAGAAGGATGTGACTTACAGACTGTAAAACAATTATGTCCCAGACCGGCTTTTCTTTTATACTGGGATCCTCACTTCACCATATAGATCTTCCAACATCTACATTTGCTCATCTCCAATTCATCTTCCAACCTATAGCTCTATTTTTGTTTAATTTTTAATTCTTGTGGGTACATAATCAGTGTATATATATATTTTTTATTTTTTGGGGGGGGAGGAAGGCAGGAAGGAAGGGAAGAAGGATGGTAGGGAGGAAGGAAGGGATGAAGGAAGGAAGGAAGGGAGGAAGCGAGGAGGGAGGGAGGGAAGGGAAGAAAGGAAATCAAGCAATGAAAGAGACATTGCCGACCTGGATCTAGAGGTTTACAAGTTGATTTCTTTTTTTTTGAGAGAAGGAAAGAAAAAAAAATAATAAGTAAAGGAGAGGAAGAAAGAGGAGAGAAAGAGGGAGAGTAAATGGAAATATTGCTTTATTTTGACAAAAATTGGGTATTAATAATGGCCAATTAATGTTTCATTTAAACTAATGGGTAAGTGTGATGTGGTATTGACAAGAATGTATATTTTGTGTATTTGAAGTGGAGAGCTCTATAAACATTTATTAAGTTTACTTGTTCTGGATCTGAGTTCGAGTCCTTGATATCCTTATTAATTTTCTGTCTCATTGAGTCTAAGTCTCCTATCTGGGTGTTAGGATCATTAGCTCTTGTTGTTGCATTGATCCTTTTACCACTATATCTTTGTTGCTTTAAAATCTATTTTATCCGATAAAAGAATTGCAACTCCTGCTTTTTATTTATTTATTATTTATTTTTGCTCTCCATTTGGTTGGAAAATCTTTCGCCATCCCTTTGTTTTGAGTCTTTGTGCATCCTTGCATGTGAAACAGGTCTGGATGTAACATGCCGTTGAGTTTTGGCTGTGTCTTTTGATTGGGAATTTAGTCAATTTAAATTTAGGGTTACTGCCATTTGATGTTAACTGGCTGGTTGATCCATTTGTTGGTGTAAATTCTTCTTTATGGTGGTGCTCTTTACTTTTTGGTGTATTTTTAGAAAGGCTAATACTGGTTGTTTCTTTCTGTGTGTAATGCTTCTTTCAGAAGCTCTTGTAAAGCAGGCCTGGTGGTAATAAAATCTCCGAGTTCTTGCTTGTTCATAAAAGATTTTATTTTTCCTTCAGTTGTGAAGCTTAGTTTGGCTGGATATGAAATTCTGGGCTGAAGGTTCTGTTCTTTGAGGATGTTGAATATTGGCCCCCACTCTCTTCTGGCCTGTAGAGTTTCTGCCAAGAGATCTGCTGTAAGTCTGATAGGCTTGCCTTTGTGGGTTATCTGACCTTTCTCTCTGGCTGCCCTTAGTATCCTCTCCTTCGTTTCAACCCTGGTGAATCTAACGATTATGTGCCTTGAGGTTGCTCTTCTTGAGGAATATCTTTGTGGTGTTCTCTGTATTACCTGGGGTTGAATGTTGACCTGCTTTTCTAGTTTAGGAAAATTTTCCTGAATAATATCCTGAAGGGTATTTTCCAGCTTGGATTCATTGTCTCCGAGGCATTCAGGTACATCTATCAAACGTAAATTTGGTCTTTTCACATAGTCCCACATGTCTTGGAGACTTTGCTCATTCCTTTTTATCCTTTTTTCTCTAATCTTTTCTTCACATTTTATTTCATTAAGTTGGACTTTGACCTCTGATATCCCTTCTTCTGCTTGAACAATTCGAGGGTTTAAACCTGTGCATACTTCTCGGAGTTCCTGTATTGTATTCTTCAGTTCCATTAATTCACTCATACTCCTCTCTTAAGCTGTCTATTCTCAATAGGATTTCATCAAACCTTTTTTCAAAGTTCCTAGTTTCTTTACGTTGGGCTACAACATGTTCTTTTAATTCACCGAAGTTTGTTATTATCCATTCCTTGAAGAGTGATTCTGTCATCAGGAGGCGCTCGTTCTCCATCAAGCCTTGTTCCATTGTTGATGTGGAACTGTGATCATCTTTAGAGGGAGAGGCATTCTGACTTTGAGTATTCTCAGCTTTTTTACGCTGGTTTCTTCCCGTCATTATAAATTTATCCTCCTGTCGTCTTTGAAATTACCAACTTTCAGATTAGGTCTCTTGAGTGGACGTCCAGGTTGTTAGTTCCCAGGGCCAGAGCAGCGGCGTTAAAACTGATGGTGCTTTTCTGCCCAGGATTCTCCTGTCTGGCTTCCTTCTTGTTTCCGTAGTAGGCGACTCTGCCTTCCCAGGGCTCCAAACCTCGGTCAGAAGGGGAAGCGGTCCCGTTTACTCTGCGCCGAGCGCTGCCACACTGAGGTGCCGGCGGAACCGCTGCGCCGACCACGAGAGTCACGCTGGCAACTCGTGTGTTTCCACCACTGGGGGATCTTCTGCTCCGTGAGCGACCAGACTTTGTCTGAAAGTGTGGCGTCCTCTAGTTCTCCACGCCTTCCCTGAGAGCTGCAATCCTGGGATGTTAGCGATCGGCCATCTTGGATCGTTCTCCAGTGTATATATTTATGAGGTCATGAGACATTTTGATACAGGCTTGCAATGTGTAATAATCACATCGGGATAAATGGCCTATCCATCACCTGAAGTATGTATCCTTTGCCTTAGAAACAACCCAATTGCATTCTTTTAGTTATTTTTAAATATACACTCAAATTTTTATTGACTATAGTCACTGTGTTGTACCATCAAATACTAGACCTTATTCATTCTGCACGCCCTACCCCAGAATCCCTATTTTTAAAGCACTAGTCTCCATCTAATCCTGTTACTCCTAAGGCTACCAAAAACACATTGCTCTGAGAAATATGCCAAAATCCTTAAGTGCCCATTATCTGCTGTGGGCTTGGTCCCTCTGCTTCAGTCTCATTCCTCATCACTCTCACCCCTGTGCTCTGGGCTACAGTCATAATGACTTTCTCTGTTTCTGAGAGCCAAAAATGTCTTTTTTGCTTTAAGGCTTCTAAAAGCTATTTCCTGTGCCTGAAACTCTCTTTGTCCTACTTCTTTAACTCCTTGTCACCCTTCACAACTCAGCATATTTTTTTTTTTTTTGGAGACAGAGTCTCACTTTGTTGCCCACACTGGAGTGCAGTGACACGATCTTGGCTCACTGCAACCTCTGTCTCCTGGGTTCCAGCGATTCTCCTGCTTCAGCCTCCAGAGTAGTTGGGGTTACAGGCATGTGCCACCACACCCAGCTAATTATTGTATTTTTAGTAGAGACAGGCTTTTGCCATGTTGGCCAGGGTGGTCTTGAACTCCTGACCTCAGGTGATCCACCCACCTTGGCCTCCCAAAGTCCTAGGATTATAGACATGAGTCACCATACCTGGCCCACAGCTCAGCTTTAAGCTACCTCCTCAGACTCTGTCCTAATCACCCAAAATAGATTAGAAACCCTCCACTGTTCCTTTTAATTCCTAGTATCTCTCCCTACCAGCACTCATGGAATTTTTCCCTATTACCTTTTGAATTTTTATTTTTAAATTTATATTCA